GAGGGGGAGGGAGAGGGAGAGGGAGAGGGAGAGGGAGTGCATCCGGACCTGTCGTGTTGGCGCGCTGGCATATGGACGCATGCACGCAGGTTGGGGTATGGTAATGGGTAGTTGTGAATGGTGCCGCACCACACCTTGGCAGGCCTGCTGGCCAGGCTGCGCAGCATGTGGTGTGGCAGGCGGATGCCGCGCCTGAGGTTGCCCCACTCGGGCACCATGTCCTGCGGGGCAGGGCAGAGGCAGCGGCATCAAGACATGATGATTCAGTGACCTACAAACCAGATATGCATCGCCCACCTTGGAAGAAAGGCGATAAGACTTTGCAGTTCCGCAAATGCGCTTGAAGGGTTGGCAGCATTACTTCTTCCCAATCAGTGACAATAACTGCTGCAGCTATCTAGATCGCCGCTGCGGACAGTGGCACCAAAATGAGGCTGTTTCTACCCTACGAACCTCTGCAGCCACCTCCTCTGGGGTACGCGCACGCTTAAACAGGTTTGGCACCGCGCCCGCAGCCTGCGCCAGCGCCAGCATCACAGCCTGGATTGTGGGGCCAGGGCGAAGGGCGCTGAGACCCGCACTGCTGGTGTGCAAGGGTGTGCAAGGCTCAGCTGCAGCATGCTTGTTGGTTCACTGCAGATCGAAGCCGATGATTCTGGCACATTGAGCACTTGCGCAGCCTGCAGTCTCAAAGGACTACCACTCATGTGTGTCTCACCTGAAGCTGCTGGATGCTACGAGCTACCGGCTCCCTAGGTGAGCACGGCAACATGGGGCAGGATCAGCGTGGCCAGGCCAAGCCCTCGCAATACACAGAGCGGCATGCTGCTGCCACCTGCATCAACATGCTGCCCCCGCTTGGCATCATTCAAAGCAATTCAACAGTCATGCTTACCCGTGAGGAAAGGACAGCACTGCGGCTGGCGCGGCCCTTGCAGCGTCGCCTGTTCGCACTGCTGCTGCGTCGGTGGCCATACCAGCAACCAGCGCTGCCCCGTCCAACGGTTCCATTGCAGCTATTGACATGCCCCGTCGGAAGAGCTTATGAGGTGCAAAAGGGGGCGACGATACGGTACACACGTCAATGCCTGCGCCTAGTACGTATGATCTGTGTCTTCGCACGACAAATCTACACGGGCTTAAGCGGAGAAACGTACCTAACAGGTGTGTGAACGCTTGCCTCAGCTGCTTGATAACAACTAGCGTGCAGCGTTGCGCTCGTCGACCACTGGCACTTGCACATGCAGATGCTGACAGCACCATAGAACCGTCCGCATCGAGCACACACGAACACCTCATTGTTTTGACTCTATATGGGACAGTAAATTCTTCCTGTTCCTCATCATATTCATGCATGTAAAAGCAGGCAGCTTCACGCAAGTGACAGCCAGCCAATGGCAAGGCCTTACTCTTCATCACTGCTGTCCTGTCAACCTGGACCCTTTTCGTGAGAATGCCATATGATATACGTGTGACTGTGCTCTGCATCAAGTCTGCCGCGGATTGGTCGAAATGTCCCAGCACATGTATGTGAACATCGTTTGCACAGCGAGCACTCAGTACAATCCAATATCAGCGTCTTGGTATCTTGAAATGCGTCTCAACCGCACAGCCACGCAGATTGCAGCAGTGCGCTTCATGATGGCATGTCACTGATGGACAGTGTTCTCTGCTTAATCCCCTAATTGGCCCCGATCTGTAAAGCAAAAATGTTGGTTTGACTGAGCAGTGCAGCAACACCACAATTTGTGTATCATTTCCGCCACAAAACTGGTTTCGAAGACTAGCAGGTGGTGTTACACACAATCGACCGCACTGAGAAGACAAATGATACAATTCCACTAGGCTTTGCAGCCCAGGGAAATGCCTGCAGTATATGGCAGGTCAGCTGCGCACGCGCCACTCTCAACCGGAAGGGCAAACATTTACAACCAAAAAGCCCGAAGGTTGAGGTTTATGCCGGCAGGAACTTGGAAGCGAATGCCCTGTGGGGATGTGCAAGATGCGGTGTTCAACACGCACAATGTGAAATGTATGATGAGTTGCAGGCAAACATGCAAGTTTGTGGCAGCAAGTGCCTGTCAACCGCATCCTCAGTTGCTGCAGCACCGGCATGCGCCTTGCCACAGCCGTGGCTGCTGTGCCCCTCCCATTACTGTCCACCCACCACGCGTTGTTGGCGCCGGGCTCAGCAAGGTGGCTGTCCAGGTTGGCGATGGGGCCGTCACCGGTCACCAGGCCCTGCACAAAGACTGCGTGCAGTGGAGTGATGGCAATGGGCAGCAGGTCACTTTAACGCAGGTATGCGGCAGATGCGGCTGCGCATCAAGGTGCATTTAAAACTGAGAGGGGCTTAAGGTCTAGTCCGCCCCTCGCGATCGTGCCAAGACGTTCCCATGAGGTATTTTTCCCGTGTCACTCACAGCCGAACATGGAGAACATGGCCAGGCGGCCGTTCTTGATCTCCTTGACCTTGAGCTCAGCCAGGGTGTCGGGGTCGTCGGCCAGGCCCAGGGGGTCAAAGGCCTCACCGGGGTACAGGGTGTCCAGGCCCTCGCCGAAGCCGCCGGGGGCCTCGCCGTTGTAGCGGAAGCTCTCAGCGGCGCCCATCACCACGAGCTGTGCAACAGAGGATACAAGGGGGCCAGTGCAGAGCAGGGGGCTGGCATGAGCGAACAAGCTTCCACAGCGCGGTGAGCAGGAAGTAAGGGTGAACATTATGGCGCTGCACCCACCCACCGTCCCCGTCAAGATCATGGCGCTGCACCCCACCTGGAAGCCCAGGGTGGCCAGGATGGACTGGGCATGCACCAGGTTGGGGTTGCCCAGGTAGTTGAGGCCGTCCTCGGCGAAGATGGCGGTGCCAGCCTTGAACCAGACAGCGGAGTCGCCAAACGGCACGCCGTTCTTGGCGAGGAGCTCGGGCGTCACGCAGCCCAGAGCGCCGAGCATGGCCCAGCGGGCGTGGATGACCTCAATGGTCCTGAAGCGGGCAAAGGTGGCGGGATCGGCCGACAGGCCGGCGGTGTCCCAGCCGTAGTCGCCGGGGAACTCGCCAGTCAGGTACGAGGGAGTATCAGCCTCGGAGAAGGAGCCTTTGGGGGAATGGGGGGATTGCAGCGTGTGAGGTCACCTAGGTGGTAGGGTGCACAATGTTTAGGTGCCGCACCAACAGAGCTCTGTGGCGCAGAAACATGCACATCAAGCCTAATGTGGAGCGTAGATGTGGACGCACATGGCAAGACCAGACGTTTGGACAATGGGCGTTTGGGCTACCTGACTGCCATTGTGTGCTGCCACGCTCAACCGCATCTGCCCTCCCATGTCATGCTGGTCCCTGCTCACCCAGGTACTTGGGCCTGTCGGGGCCATACCACTCAACGGCCGCGCGGGGCACCACGCGGGAGGACTGTGGGGATGGCAAGTGGCAGGTGAGGAGGAGGTAGGCGCGGTCAGTGAGGATCAGATTGCTGTTGGCAAGATCTTGGCGAGTCCGCGCTGCTCGTGCAGTTGATAGGCTAGAGTATGTAGAGATATATAGATTATCGGGACGTGCACGTGTGGGCCTGGGGCGCCTCACCTTAGCACCGGTCGTGCGGGCCGCGGTGCGCAGAGCGCTCTTGGAGGAGAGGGCGAAGGCCATGTTGGAGGAGTGGTGAGACGACACGAAAATAACTCTCGTTGTGAACGAGATGGTATGGTGTACGGGGAAGGGCCCCGAATTTCACCAAGGCAGGTGCGGCAGATTGCCAGGCACAGCGGCGAGGTTTAGTGCCAGATACTGTGTGTGCACACCAACGGACATGTCTACAGACAGCTGCACACGGCAAAGATTGCAGATGAACGCAATAGCTTAGAGTATAGTGCGGCTGCCAGCGGCTGCATACTTCACAGGGGCTGAAGTATAGATGAGTTGATTGCACAACGGCTGCACCAGCGCCGCGTCGCAATCGCGCTTAAGACTGTGAACGCCCGTCTAGACCCCTGCTTCATGCAGGTACATTGGCGGAGCTAACAAGGACGGCTTTGGTACCCACGGGCTCAAACACGCTCTCCAGCAGGAGAAGCGCGTTCCGAGCTGCCAGGAGCTGTAGGCCAGGCGGCTCATGGAAAATCCTATTGCTGGTCAAGATCTGAGTCAGCACAAGGCGCAGCGACTGATCAGGCTGAGCAGTGTTGATATGTGAGCTGCCCACGCATCAGCATGACTGCCCATCCTTTTGTTGCGTGGCCGTTTGTGCGTTGGCATAATTAAACATGGGTAGTGTTGAGGCTCAAATTGCCAGAGTGGTATCAAGGCGGCACAACCAAGGAGACTCTGAGAGTTGGAATAGTGAGTATGCTGTGCCACAGTGCAAGAACAGCAAGTGACGTGTTGGTCAAAAGGCATGCAATCGTCAAAATCGCGCCGCAGCCTGTATCTCAAGGCAGCGAGTTGGCCAGCAATGATCACGTTGTTGGTGGTGTGTCAAGACTGCAAGCATTGACTAGTGCCGCTGATGCTCCTGCTGGCCTCATTCTGAGACACTGGGAAGTCCCTCCTGCTGCTGGACCTCGTTTGGCTGCTGCTGGGGCAAACCCGCTAGCGCGGCTGCTGCTGTGGGCGTGCTGTCCTGCGTCGCTGGCGGCAGCAGGCTACCCGCCGCCGTGGTGCGCCGGCTGCTGTCGCCTGCCGCCCACCGGGCGTAATCAACAGCGAGCAGATCGAGGAAGCTAGGAAGCAGTGCCTGCATCACGAGCTTGGCCAGCAGCCCGCCAGTGGTTGACAGCAGCGGCCCTGGCACCGCGCTCAGTGGGGGCGGCACGCGCACGCGCAGCCGCACGTCCACGTCGCAGCGCAAGCGGCTGATCTGCTGCAAGCTCTCGCGAGTAGGAGCGTCACCTGCCGCAACCGCGATGTTTGCTGGCGCTGGCGGCTCTGCCACTCCTGCTGATGGCGCTGCTGCCGCCATCTTTCTGCTGCCCTTGTCGCCACCACCACTGCTGAATCCATGCGTGTGAGGTCTTCCGTGCTTGTGTGCGGCGTGCGGGTGCTTGTGATGCTTGACCGTGCGTTGCGTGTGAGGTAAAGCGTGACCGCTGTCGCGTCCATTGCCAGCTGCAGCTGCCATTGGCTGCGCTTTGCGCTTGACGCTGCTCAGCATGCGCGCACGCAAGTCAAACTGCACCTCCTCGTCCATGCGCGGCACGCCAATGCGCAGCTGGCCCGCAGTAAAAGTCACCTGGAACGGCACGTGCGGAAGTTGGGGCAAAGGGTGAGCTGTGGCAACGCCATTGAAGAGCGGGCAGTGCCGGCATGAGCTGCAAATCGCGCAACGTGCTTACACCGCGCCCAGCTGCAACAGCACGGCGGTCGAGGTAGGGGAAAATCCACGCCACTGCCAGGGATCTGGTGCGTTCGACCTGACATTGGCCAAGCTCTCTGCAACCACATGTGCCGGCCGCCCTTCCCGCTTCCGGTCGCTGCGGGTGCCCCTCACCCACCCCACCACCCGCAGCCCACCCACCGCCCCGAGCCTCTCGTCCACGTCCACGTCGATCACCAGCTGCGGCGTCAGCTCCAGCCCCACGATGTCCGCCAACGGGACCGTCAGCAGGAACGACCCCGACACGGGCGGGGCCGCAGCGCCGCCACCGCTGCTGGACGCCTTGTCCCCCGACTCGCCACTCTGCGCAGCACACTCGTCACTGCTGCTGCCGCCCTGGGCGCCACCAGCATCGTCCCCGTCGCAGGACGGCAGGCGTGAGATGTAGCGCGGGTCAAGCAGGGAGTACTGCTCCAGAGGCAGGCCCAGGTAGGAGCGCAGATCACGCCGCGCTGGTGTGGGCCACGGCATTGGCGTCTGCCCGACGGTTGGCGTGGCGCTGGTCGCCGCCTCGGCTGCAGCTGGCGCTGCTGTGGCCGCGCCGCTGGTGGCGGCGATGGGTGGAAAGTGTTCCTGGAGGTTGGAAACGAAGGGACGCCAAGCCGCAAGGCATCAGTAGCAGGCGCAGCCATGTCATTCTGGTCCGTGCGGCGGGCTTTCAAATAACATTTTCTAAATAACACGTGCGGGCAGAGCATGCGCCGCAGCCGGGTCGCCATGCAGCCATTGAGAACGCCAGCGCCGTACCACCAGCGTGGTCCCCGCCCTGACGCGCACCGTCACGTCCTTGGACCCTGACGCCCGCGCCTTGAGGGTCACCAACTTGCCGGGGTCGGAGCGCGCCAGCGCTGCCGCCTCTTCGCGTGCCCCCCTTGCAGCCTCGCGCGCGCTGCTGGCGTCGCTGTTGCCCCGGGCGCTGCTGCCGCTCGCGCTGCCGTCTGCGCTTCCGCTGCCGCCACCGCGGATCTTGCTGTTGATGGCAAGGACCTTGTTGATCGCGCCAACCGCGGCCTCCAGAGCGGCATACTCAGGAGGGCGGCGGCCCGCGCGCTGCAGCAACCCAGCCGGACAGCGGCGGCGCTGGTGGCGAGAGCCGCAGCACAGCGAACTTGCGTCCGCGTCATGACAAGCCCGCGAGCATGAGAGACTCCGCATTGGTCCATGTGTGTGCATGGTCTTGGCCGCTTTGCAGCAGAGTACTTGCTGGTGGGACTGCAATGGCTGGACGCCGAGCTCACTTGTGCGCGCTGCAGCAGCAGACAACGCTGTCTGGGCAGTGCGCCGTTGGGCGCGAGTCAGCGGGCACGACAAAGAGAATACTGCAGCTGGATTATACTCTTCGCTGTGCGACAAGAAGCTTTAGCTGCGGTCCCTAGCCTCCAGCGTTACAGCACAACCGAACGCGGCGGGCAGCAATCTCAGTCCAGCGCATGTGTCGGGAAGTACGTGCACTTACATGCAATCAGTGACAATTTATTTTCGTGCATTGTCGGGTTCCGCAGATGTCAGGCAGGCAGCACAAAACAAAGATCTGCGGCGGGATGCAGGTCTGCGGTATGTCTTGTATGATTACGCTCGAGCTGCCCGTGCAGCCAGTACTCTGCCCCTTTGAGAGGAACACATCCTAGCCTGCATGATGGGGATGGCGTTGGTGACATGATAGTACACCTCGACTACCGTATGTTGAAGTCGCAGTTGGCCGTCACAGTCACATCAGGGGCACTTGCAAGCAGCTTAGTGCTCGAACCAAGTAAGGTGTCCCTGCCCGTACCCGTTCCACTGGGTCTCATATCACAGTCACCTGAGCGTAACAGCCAGTCGATAAGAGCGGCAGAAGGGGTTTGAACGCGGGTTGTAGAAATCTGGCAAGAAGGCACATGCACAAAGTGTGTTCTCGTGGGCGTGAGGAGGGAATCTCGGCGACCATGCGATGGAAAGGTCACAGCGCCGGCGCCCGGGATGGGATTACATTTTCAGTGTGCCAGCAGAGGAGCAGGCATGGGACACAAAGTCTTCACAAGCATGTTACCGCATGCCGGCGGGGTGTCTCTTGCACCAAAAGGCTGCATCTGACAGGGTGGCAAATGGTCGGTGTAGTCAGCGTGTTGAGAGGCACGGACGCCTTGCACCAATGGATCGCCGCGTGGGAACTCTGCAAGATGCTACTGTCACGACAGGGCATCATCACAACAGCTCCTTGGTCTTAATTGGTTTAACTGCCAATCAACTTCTTTGGCAGCTGTCAAAAGCATTATTTGGCAGTGAAGACAAACTGCTGTCAGTTCAACCATGCGCTAGTATTACTAGTGCCAGCTTGAAAAGCTGGTGCCACCGAACTGGATGTCGGCATGTCATGAACAGTATTGTGCGCATTTCCTGGCGTACGATGAAAAGATGTTGAGCCTGATGTCAAGGCTCATGTGCACCTATTTTGAAACAGTAGCCATGCATTGCTCATACCTGCCTGCGTGACTTGGAAAACGTCGTGTATCACCATGTCCCTGGAAGCGCTGGCGTGATGTATGGCCCCTCGACACTGATTGATCTTCTTGTCATGCCCTTACATGATCAGCAAAAATCCCGCAGTTGATGGTGGGCATTCAAGCAACAACAGGTGCCCACATCCAGATGCATTCACAGACATTTTTCAATCTCACAACCCACATTTGCATGCACATGCATACACCCTGTTGACAACACGATATGCCCACACTGTCCACCAAGAGCCGCACCTTGCATAGCCCCAGTCGCACCACACTGCTATGCAGCAAACTCCAACAGTGCACTTCCACCATGCAGTTGCAGGCAGCAAGAGACTTTTGCGGCACGGGGCCATGGTGCAGGGTCAATGGCTGCCAAGGGTGGCGGCACCCTTGTGCGGGACCTTGGGCCACCGTGGGCACCCTTGTGCGGGACCTTGGGCCACCGTGGGCAGCCTCCGCACCTCTCTGCCGGCGGTGTCCTGCGCCGGGCCTGCAGGTTCCAAGGCTGCCCGTGGCTGACAGCCGCATGCCAGACATGAGGCTTCTAGGCGCAAGGTGAGCCTTTTGCATAACCGAGGGATAGGATGGCGTGCCGTGACAAATGCGCGCCAGAGCAGTGGCAGCACACCAGCGGGGCGCCTGACCCATCAAGCGAGTTCGGTGTGCACTTGCTCGTCACATACAGTGCTGCGCGGCATGCTGGTAAGTCAACCATTGTGCTCTTGCTGTCCGGTGAACCTGCGTCGGCAGGCCGCACAGGCCGTGCAGATCATGGACATGGCCGCAAATCATCTTGGCTGGGCGCACTTTGCAGTTGCACCACTGTCCCGCCATCTTGGCATACCAGACTGCTTCTGAGAATTTCCGGATCTCTGAACCCGACATCAAGGAACCAGGGGATGCGGGTTGGACGTGTTGAACCCTCGACTTCGCCTAGCAATCTGCCGCCCTGGCCTTAAATCTGGACCCCCCCTCACGTTTCACACACCTCCAGTCATCACTTCGATTCGGAGTTGTCACACACACTCCTCCAAAATGGCCTTCGCCCTCTCCTCCAAGAGCGCTCTGCGCACCGCGGCCCGCACTACCGGTGCCAAGGTGAGGCCTAAACCGGGACGTTTGGTAGGTTTCGGAGCGGTCGTATACTACGCTACAGCACGTTCAGAGCATGCAGAGGCGCACAAGTTGTGTACATGTGTTGTTGACCCCTATCTTCGCCCTGCGCTGCAGTCTTCCCGCGTGGTGCCCCGCGCCGCGGTTGAGTGGTACGGCCCCGACAGGCCCAAGTACCTTGGTGCGTCTTCACGGGGCTCCGGGGGTCGCTGGATGGGAGGGCAAGTCCTCGGGCTGAAGATCCCAGTGGAGATCTCGCTCAGACAGTTGCGGCGCAGTCACCTGATGAAAGCAGCACTCTGTAGAGACATATCAGCAGCGCTGGCACGCAACAGGTGTTTCTTTAGCAGGCAGCTTTGTTGCGGCGCCGGGATCGTGCCGGTCAACCAGCATCCCTGCACACACACACCCCTACCTAGGGGGCTTCTCCGATGGCGACACTCCCGCCTACCTGACTGGCGAGTTCCCCGGTGACTACGGCTGGGACACCGCCGGCCTGTCGGCCGACCCCGCCACCTTTGCCCGCTACAGGGAGGTGGAGGTCATCCACGCCCGCTGGGCCATGCTCGGCGCTCTGGGCTGCGTGACCCCCGAGCTCCTGGCCAAGAACGGCGTGCCGTTCGGCGACTCCGCTGTCTGGTTCAAGGCTGGCGCCTCCATCTTCAGCGCGGACGGCCTCAACTACCTGGGCAACCCCAGCCTGGTGCACGCCCAGTCCATCCTGGCCACCCTTGCCTTCCAGGTGGGTGGGATTGCAGTGAGCGGGTGTATTGGCCTCGGGCAAGTACGACATGCCCTGAGACCACGTGTGGGCCAACACATTAGATGATTGCTGGCATTGTGTCCGTTGTGCCCTGAAACCATATGTGGGTCTAAATGCTGGATGATTGATTTCATGATGTCCCTTGTGTCCGCCTGACCCATGTGTAACTCACACCTCCCGATCAAACACAGCTCGTGGTGATGGGCGCTGCTGAGGTGTACCGCTTCAACGGTTCCGCCCCCGGTGGCTTCGCTGAGGGCTCGGACACCCTCTACCCCGGCGGCTCCTTTGACCCCCTGGGCCTGGCCGACGACCCCGACACCCTGGCTGAGCTCAAGGTCAAGGAGATCAAGAACGGCCGCCTGGCCATGTTCTCCATGTTCGGCTGTGAGTGACACGGGAGGGACGGGTACCACTCCCATGTCTATTGCTGAGTGTGCATCATGTGATGCGGGATCACGACAACACAGTTCACGCCTGCCCTTCCCCCCTGTTGCCTGGATGGTGCTGTGTGTACGGGAAATTGGAATGTCGCTGATTGCTCACGCCTCGTTTCATGCATCCACAACACTGCAGTCTTCGTGCAGGGCCTGGTGACCAAGGAGGGCCCCATTGCCAACCTGGAGCTGCACCTGTCCAACCCCTCGGTGAACAACATCTTCGCCAATGCCCCCCGCCTGGCTTAGGCCGGTGCCCTGTATACTGCTGGTCACAATCACAAAGCCACCAACAGGCGGTTTTGTGGATGTTTTTGGTGCCCCTGCTGGGCAAAACCATGCGTGCGGTCCCCGTCCGGAGCGGTTGAATGTGAGTGCGCTTGGTGACCGTGAGTGCAACTGGAGGAGATATTATGGCCTTTGGGGCATACGCGCATACACATACAATGGTTGCACTGCACTGCGGAGCAACATGCGCGCCCATCATATCGGCCATGGTAATGTAAAGCGCAGGCTGTCAACGACCAAGTGTAATACAAATCAACATGTTGGCACAGCTGCCCTGCACCCGTGCAAAGCAGTGAAAGTTGGTTGAGAACAAAGGCAAAGAAAGGGAGCTGCCCTAGCAGAGCTGGTGAAAGCGGCAGCCGCAAGTTCGAACACTCCTGGTGTGAAATGTTGCCAAGCATCTTGCTTCACAGCTAGGTGGCTTGATGTCCGTTTTCCTGCAGAGCTGCAGTAGACACGCGACCGGTGAGACTAACCAGATGGCTGTGCTAAATATCAAGTGCCAAGTGAAGACGGAAGGTCTGGTACAGACTCGACCAGCAAAATGGCACCTACGTTTTTGCTGTACAGTCTTCCCCCGCTACAGTGAACCCATCGGGGGTCGGCGGCACGTTCGCTATAGCCGGCTTGTTCGCTATCGCGAAAACTGAAATTGGGCAGCTGCTGGTATTGGGGGTAGCGGCGGCGTTCGCTGTAGGCAGGGTTTTCGCTATGGCGGGGTTCTCTGTAGCGGGGGAGGACTGTAGGCACTTCCCCACAGCCACCCCCATTCACTGATTGCAACTGCCCACCCAAGCTACGCCTGAAGGTACGGGGAGGGCAGGCACTTGGGTTTGCCATTGCTCAGCACCCTGCTGTGTGCCCCGCCTCACTGCATATTGAGACCGCCCTCTGCTGTGTGCTTATCGCCCCACACATAGTAAATGCCTGCTCTGTGACACTGCAGGTAGTTTTGCGGGCAAGCGTGCATGCTGGCAGTGTTGGCAACTCCTTCAATCGAATCTTCTGGGATAGGCTCAAGTAGAACGGGTGCGGGAAACCCGAATTGGTGTAAGCTAATGCTTGCCACACTGTGTGTCTACTACAATGGTGGATGAGAAGCGGGGGGGAGTGGGCAGCGATCGGCACCCACCCACCCAGTCACTCACCATGGAAATCTGTCGGCATGATCAGCGGCTTTCGCAGGTACTCTTGAAATCGCTTTAGAGTTTAATTGCTTGTCCGCACCCAGCCTCGATCTTTACGCCAGCAGGCCGGGAACTCGGGATATTGAAGAGCCGGCTGTTCCTATTGCTCGAGCCCCCAGGCCGCCAAGCACAGGCCAGCAGCTGCCTGATTAATTTATGCGTATCTAATTTCTCTAATAGCTGTTTCTGACGTCGATTAGGCCCAAGCACCTTCAAGTATCACCGCGGCTGGCCCCGGTGTGCTAGGCCCGGGTGGCGGACACTTGCGGGTGAGCAGGAAGCTGAACGGCATGTTTCGGCGTGCATAATCCCCTGTTGCAGATCAGAGCAGCCCGGGGCACCCGTGGTCTCAGCGCTGATGGGGCTGCCCTCGCACGTTGGCACCCGCGCTTGCACGACAAGTTCGCGGACGCGTTTCGATGTTGTGAAACGAGTTTGAGATGCACAACGCCGCGTCTGGAAGGCCCATGCCCCTTGCAGCCGGAGCGCCCACATCCGACGAGTGCGCGCGCTCACACCACCGCGGTTTGTCGCGCAGTTCGCACCCGGCGGGAGGCCTCTAGCCCTTGTGTGGAGCGATGCGCGACGTCGTGCACACGGGCAGCATGGCCCCGGCCGTGCTGCTGTGCATCCTGGCTGTTGTCCTGGCCGCGCCAACTGCAGTGGCCCAGCCGCAGCAGCAGCGGCTGAGCCAATGGGACGTGTGCGGCGGCCTCAACAGCCCCTCCAAGAGCGATGCCGCTGTGACGGGCTGCCCACCCGGCTTTGCCTGCATTCGCCAGGATGAGTGAGCGTCGGCGGGAAGGGGCAGACAGTCTTCGAGCCGTTTGTCATTCGCATGCAAGCTCGGAGGGGAGGGTGGGGTGGACAAGGGCTGTGACAAACCCGCTCTCCGCTGCCCACATCACACATCCAGGTTCTATTGGCAGTGCAAGGACATAAAAACACTGCAGGGCAACGCCGCTGAGCTGGCAAAGCAGCCTGAAAAGCAGGGGCAACAGCTGGGAGCACCGGGGCTGCCCCAGGAGGCTCAGGGGAAGCAGACCCAGGTGCAGACTGCTGGGGGCGCGGAGGTTGTGAAGCCATGGGGGCAGTGCGGCGGCATCACCAACAACCCAGCGGGCACTGACATAGTATGGCCTAACGTTACTTGCCCTCCGGTGAGTATGGGTGAAGGTGTGAATGTATGGGGGGGGGGAGCCCAGGGGTGAAGGATGGAGTGGGCAAACCCACGCACGCGATGCCCCACCTCTGTCGTGCATGACTGCAGCGTAGTCTTATCGTTTGTCATAAGGATAGTGTGTCACAGTGCTGCCCCACACACATTCACTCTGATGTTTGTGTGGCCCATGCGCACATCGCCTTTCATCCTCAGGGATACGAGTGCGTCCGTCAAGACGGGTGAGTGTGCACTGGGGGGCGGCTGGGCCTGCAGGGAAGGGCCATCCTGTGCATATGCACTGCAGCGCCGCAGGTGGTTGTGCTAATACATTTGTTTACGCGCTCATCTGCCCCTGATACAGGTGGTTCTACAACTGCAAGTCCATTGCGTCCCTGCAGCTACCTGCCGAGGCGAGCCCCAGGCCCACTACGCCGCTGGTTGCCAATGAGACGTCTGCCACTGGAGAGAAGCCCAAAACAGCGGAGCAGCCGCCTGTTCAGGCGAAGCCCGCAGTAGAGGCAAAGCCGCCTGCCGAGGCCAAGCCCATAGCAGAGCAGAAGCCGCCTGTCGAGGTCAAGCCCACAGCTGAGCAGAAGCCGCCTGCCGAGGCCAAGCCTACAGCAGAGCGGACGCCGCCTGCCGAGGCGAAGCCTGCAGCAGAGCAGAAGCCGCCTACCGACGCAAAGCCCGCAGCAGAGGACAAAGCGCCTGCCGAGGCCAAGCCCGCAGCAGTGGAGAAGCCCGCCGCCAAGGCGCCACAGGAGCCTGAGCCTGCGCCTGCCCCTGCGCCCACGCCTGCGTCTGCTGCAGGGGCGGGGCCTGTCCCTGAGCCCGTCAAGCTGGCGCTGCAGTTTCCGGGCGTGACTACTGACGAGTTCAAGGCCAAGTATGCGGAGGGTAGCCTCAAGGCCGTGGCAGAGGTGGCCGGCGTCGACCCTGCAGCGGTGAAGTCGACCGTCACCCCAGCGGGCGCCGGCGGCGCAGCCGCTCGCCGCCTGCTGGCATCTGGCGGCGTTGACGTGGCGTACACCATCACTGCAGCCGACCGCGACGCTTTGCTCGAGCGCCTCGACACAGCCAGCGCCGACGGTGGCGCTGGGCTGAACAAGGCGCTCGCTGCAGCCGGCGTGCCCCTCAAGCCGGCTGTATGGATCAACGGCCAGAACAAGGTCCCGGTGGCTCCGGTGGTGACGCCACGCACCGCCGAAACGCCGGCTGCCACTGTTCCCGCCCCTGAGCAAGCGACAGGGACACCCGCTGTGAGCCAGAGTGTCGTGATCGGCGCCGTGGTCGGGTCTGTCCTTGGCGCACTGCTGCTGGTAGCACTGGTGCTGGTATTCTTGCGGCTGCGCCGCCGCAAGGCCGCCGCCGGGCAGGACGCATCACTCCCCGTCAAGCCCACCAAGCAGGCTACTCCCGACGTTGAGATGGCCAGTGGCAGGTGAGGAGGGGTGGGGCAGCCATGCTGATGGTGCGGAAGGATACTAGGCGATGCGGTGGCATCGTGGGCACCAGGGCTCACGGCGTGAGGGTGGCAAGGGGAGAGGGAAGCAGTTCTGGATGTTCTAGAATCAGCAGCCGGCGGGGCTGTGCGATGCTTGTTGCACTGCGCCGCACATGCTGTAGATTGTATGTTAGAAGTTGCCTGGATCACTGAGCCCCTGCAGCACTGCTGCGTCCCCCCCGGCTGTGCATCACCCCACCCTTCGCAGCGACAAGGCAGCCCAGAGCGGCCGCCCCACGACCGCAGTCACAGCGGCCGCCGCCGGCCACAGCTCGCAGACGCTGCAATCGGCCGCAGCTGCGGGCGCTGCCGCTGCTGCGGCGCTGCCGGCGCTGCAGCACTCAAGCAGCGGCCGCGCGCCTTCTGCGAGCTTGGCGCCGGCCGAGGCCTTCCCGCGCTCCTTCAACCCTACGGCCGAGGACACCACCCCCAGCCCCGTCCCTGCCCTCCCACCGGTACGCACCAGCAAGGAGCCCGCTGCCGCGAAGGTTGCCGCCCCCGCGGCCGCCGCCGCCGCAGGCGTGGCTGCAGCTGCGGCCGCAGCCGTGGCTCCCACAGTGGCGCTGCCCGCGGCGCCCGCAGCGGCGCCCGCACCCGCGGAGGCGCCCGTGACGCCCAGCTCCTCCGCCGCGGCCGCGGCCCACGAGGACCTGCCGCCCACCCCCGGCAGCCGCCCCGGCAGCGACGGCACCTTCCGCAGCGGCGACGAGGCGTTTGGGACGCCCCGCAGCACCGCGGGCGGAGCCCCCAGTGAGGTGTCTTTCAAGAGCGCGGGAGCCGGGAGCGGCAGCGAGGCCAGCTTCCGCACGGTCGGGGGCGCCTCCGCCGCCAGCTTTGCCAGCGCGAGGTCTGCCGCCAGCCGCATGAGCGCCGTGAGCGCGGCCACCTCCTTCAGCAAGCACGAGAACGCCTCAGAATTCCCCAAGGCGTTTGTGCCCAGGATACCCGACGAGGGCAGCGCGAGCGGCAGCGACGCCGAGGGTGACGCGCCGCTCGCGGCGCGCGGCAGCGGTGGGGCCGCCGCAGGCCCGTCGGCTGCGGGCGCGCGCGGTACGACCTCCGCGTCTCGGCTGGCGGGCTCACGGCTGTCTGGTTCCGGCAAAGACAGCGCTGGCAAGCGCTCCTTCAAGCCCCTCGGTCGCTGAGCCCCCAGCGGGATGGGCGGTGCAGTTTTGCTGGGTGCGTGGGCAAACACAGCAAAGCGGGTGGGTTTCAAACGCAGCTGCGCCACCAGGCCGCCTGCTTTCGCTGATGTGACATTCCTCCGTGCAGGCCCGCCCTGCTGGCCACCTGTTTGCACCTTCATCCCCTCTCGGCGCCACGCCGCTTCGCTCCTTGCCATGCGGGAGTTGTCATGACAGGGGCAAGGAGCAGCCGCTGCTTGATGACGGCGCGCACGTTGGTGTGCTCCACCGCACGGGCACATGGGGTGCAGGGGCTCTGGCTGATTTGATAGCTTTCTGTTGGGAATCATTACACAGCATGGTTTGGTTGCCATGCTGGGCGTGCCAATTGCAATCGACTGCCTTAGCCACTTGGCACCTCATACAACATGGGCTTACTGCCACAAATGATCGGAGAACACACACTTCTCCCCCCTCGCCGACAGCACTTTTGGGACAAGAGGGCTATACGGCGTGCGTGCGGGCCTGCGCATGCGCCTTGCTGGCATACGCATGGCGCACAGCAAGGCTTTGCATATTAAATGACGACCATGCACTATTGCGCGTGCCAGTGCGCCCCTTTTTGCGCAGCCTGGCAAGCGACAAATGAGACTGCCGTGGTGCATTCACATCACAAGTACCGGCGAAGCAAGTAATCGCGCTCTAGCGGCCGCCTGCGTGCAACCCACTGCTCAAGGTGACAGGGATGAACCGTAGCTACCCTGGGCGCAAGACTCATGCTGCCTCACGTGGTCCTGCCGGCGCCAGGTCCCTGCCAGCCGCTACACGCACTACATCAGCATCAGCACATAATTTATATGAACTTGGAAGTGCCTGCGTATCTGCGACCATGCATCAGTGTACCTGCAGGTATATGACCGGGTACCTCGCAACCTGCGAGAAGCTCCGGAAGCTGCCTGGCACACACCGCCTGACAACCGGAATGCAGGTACTGGGCATGCGTTGTGCATACGTGGCGTCGTGCTGTTCATGCTATGTGACAGAGCGGGGCGTACAGGCTGGTCCGCGCGGACTGAGGCGTGTGAGCATCAGCGAGCTAGGGCCAGCTGCACCAGACGAGGGATGGCGGGCCACCTGCTGTGCCTGCTGGTCCTGTACCAGAGGACGGCAAGTGTGTAGAGTGCGCTTATCATGTGCATGAATGTATGCTTTTTAAGCTGAAAAGTACAGGGTTGGTCGGGTTACAATACGGTAGTGAGGAGGACCCGCTGGACCAGAGAATGCGGGCATCAACAACGTTTGATAGCACACGTCTCCATTTGCACAACATCACATCTCAACGTATATCGGCACTTGTGTCCTATCAACCCTCTCGTGAGTCGGGCTTGATCACCCCAGCTGGCTGGGTGGGTTGAGAGTCAATGGCCGGGCAGCCGCGAGTGAACCTGTTTCCCGACCGCACTCAGCGATTTCAAAGAGGCAGTATTCGGTTTTTCGGGGGCGGGGACGCCCAGCTGGCCGCTGCGAGGACCGGACGGCTTGGGCAGGGTGCTGCGGGGCGGACGCATGATCACACACTGGCCAGGGGACCGAGGGGCGAGGCCAACATACAAAAGCTGATATTGCATTCAAAACATCTGCATTTGCATTGTGCTCTCTATTCCACCCGTGCTCAGATCCGCGCGTGTCCATCACAATGAGGGTCCTCCTCGCCTCCGTCGTGCTCCTCGCGCTTGCCGGTGAGAATATTGGCACCTGCTTCACAAGTTGCGGGCGGCTGTATTGGACGAGTGGGCCCCGCAGAGAAGCGTACCTCAACCGACACCCTTCAGCCCTGCAGCACCCTGGTTGGTTGGTGCCTCAACACCCCCGACCACCCAGCCACAGGCATGCCCATGCTTGACCCTGGCCTCCCCTACCTATCGCGCTGCTGCCACTACAGGCGCCGCGGTGGCCCAAACCGCCGCTGCCCTGGCTCCCCAGTCGACCTCGGCTGACGGCAAGCGGTTCTGGAAGGACCCCCTGGTGGCCGCCAAGGCCAACAACCTGACCGCCTTTGCCTCCACTGTCGAAGCCGCTGGCCTGGCCGACACCGTCGGCGCCCCCGACCTGGTTGCCACCGTGTTTGCCCCCAGCAACGCCGCGTTCAAGGCCCTCCAGGCGTCCACCGACCCCGTGGTGCAGGACATCCTCAACGACAAGACCAAGCTGGCCGAGGTGCTCAAGTACCACGTCGTGCCCGGGGCCACCATCGGCGCCGCGCGCATCAAGACCCTGATCGCCGGCGCCAAGGGCGGCGTGCTGCCCTTCAAGACCCTGGAGGGCGAGAAGGTCAACGCCACCCTCAAGGGCGCCACCATCCTGGTCAACGACGTCCCCGTCAGCGGCGGCGACGTGCAGGGCGGCAAGACCCTCATCCACGTGATTGACGATGTGCTCATCCCCCCCACTCTCCTGACCGGCGCGGCCGCGCCCGCCGCCTCCCCCAGCGCCGCCGCCGTGCCCTCCGCCGCGCCCGCCGCCACCGGCGCCCCCGTTACCGCTGCTCCGGCCTCCTCTCCGGCCCCTGCCGCCAAGCCGACCAACAGCGCCGGCAGGGTCGCTGCCGGCCTGCTGCTGGCTGTGCCCGCGGCCATCGCTGCCGTCCTCTAAGTGCGCACATGTGATGCCCAGGCATGGCGCCTCGCGGCGGGGCTGTCATCCAACGATGCGCCCTTGCGGCTTCGGCAACTTTTGACCCCAACATACCGGGCACACTGCGCCGCATGGGAGGGCTGAGGGTAGCAGCGCGCTGCAAGGCTCTCATGTTGCACGCGGCGGCCCCACTCTCTGAAGTTCCCGACAGCCACCTCCTACACTGCAACAGCAGGGGCGGCGGACGGCACGTTTTTTCCCGCGCAGCTCGCCGGCTCTGCTCAGCTCTGCACTGCGCCTGTAGCCGGGCGTTGCCTGAACTCACATCGCTGCGCTTTCCTCGCTTTACTCGCACGTGCGCCTCACTCGGCTGCGCCACACCTGTAAGGAGTGATGCGAGATCAAAGCTGCGACTACTTGTTGCTTGCAGCCATACAACCAGCCATGGGGATGCGGACCAGCCCTGAAGCTGCAGCGCCAGCACTGAGCAGCCTTTTGGTGGCCAGCACTTGTGCAGGCTGACACAAAGTTGTGGAGGCAGCCGGCGGGTTGCCCCAAAGAAACTTCTTGTGCAACATGTCCATGAGAAAACAAATGCATGCAAGACATCAGGTCAATATGCCATTGTGTTATGGGTACTCCATGAAATGCAGGGTGAGGGGCATGTTGCAGCACCACACCTGCCATAAAAATGCGTCGGACCATGAAACTCAATCCAACCCTGCCGCAGACCCACGCACGCGCCTCAACGCCGCATCTTTGCGAGCGTTCAGTGCCGCCAGGTGGCGCTGGCAGTGGGCAATGCTCGCCGGGGACAGGCCGCGCGCCGCCTCCAGTGCCTCCACGCGCGCCGCCAGCATGGCCAGGAGGGGCCCGCTGGGCACCACCCCCAGGCCGTGCAGCGCGTCCAGCGCCTTGACCACCCCAGGGCCACCCAGCCTAGGCGCGAGAGCGCGCAGGCGCCCGCCTGCAGCCGCCGCCCATTCTGGCGGCGGGGCCACGGCCGCGAGATTGAGGGCTGTCAGCAGCGCGCACAGCTCGCGCTCACCAAACGCGCCCATCATCAACACAGAGCGCGCCACCACCGGCGCAACCCATGCGTCGGCAGCGGCGCCCGCTGCACACCGCCTGCCCGAGCCACCCCCCGCGCCCCCGCTTGCGTCCCAGCCCGAGCGGCCGCCGCTCTCATCGCTGCCACCAAGAGAGCGCGGCCTATCCTGCTGCCAAGCCCGCGCGCCGCCCCTTGTGCCGCCGCCGCCGCCATCCGCGAGCTTGGCCAGGGCCCAGGCGCTGACCGCAAGAGCCTGGGGACCCATGGTCGGTGCCAGCTGCGCCAGGCGGCACGACAGCAGGTCCAGGCCGCCCTCGCGCCGCAGCTCGTACCCCTGAGCCGCCAGCGCCCACGCACACACGGTCAGCTCATGCGGGCCTGCGGCTGGCAGCGCGCCGCGCAGCAGCCGCCAGTGCAGGTGGGGGCCGCCCCGCACCGCCTCCAGCGGCACGCGCAGCGCTGTGTGGGCGTGCAGCAGCAGGGCAACATCACGCGGCGCCGGCGCCGAGCCGCCATCGCCCAGTACGAGCGGCGCAGTGCCGCCGCCGTCGCCACCGCCTCTGCCGTCGCCGCCACCTGCTGCGCCGTCCACCCCGCCGTCGCGGCCCAAGACAGCTGCCTGCTGCGCCGCAGAGTCGCCGCCCACCGCCGCGAAGCTGCTCGGCCCCCCATGGCCGTCCTCGACGTTGTCTGCCCCGCCGCTGCAGTTTGTCGCGGCTGCGAGCTTGATGGCCGCGTAACCCAGCAGCCGCACCGCCAGCTCCCCAGGCACCCTGATCCCCAGCCGCCCCAGAGCCCAGCCGACTGTCACCAGCTGGCGCCCCTCGAACTGGTCGGCCGTCCAGTACAGCTGACCCGCCAACCGCGACGCCCAGCCGGGCGGCGGCCTGTAGCGCGCGTGCGCCAGCGACACGCACGTGGTCGTCAGCTCCGCGGCCGTCATCTCGGGCATCACCCTCATCGCGGCGCGCAGCCATGCGGCCATCCAGTCAGCCGGCGGCCGCAGCTGCAGCGCCGCAGCGGTCGCCCACAGCGCGAGAGTCAGCTCGCGGCCTCGGAGGGAGCCCAGCGCTGCGCCGCTGGCGGCCAGCAGGCGCGCCGACTCAGAGGGCCCCAGCGGCGCTGCCCCAAGACGTGCGAGGCCCAGCATTAGCACCAGCAGCGAGCGCGGCGGGTAGGCGGCCACGGCCGGTAGCAGCGCAGCCAGCAGCTCCGGCAGCCACCCGCCCTTTAGCGGCGACGCAGCAGGCAGCTGGAGGCGGCCGAGCGCCCACACCGCCGTCGACGCATCGCGGGGGGAGAGCACGCCGCCCTGCGCCAGCACCAGCAGGCGCTCCAGCAGCGGCGGCCACGCGCCCGGCGGCGGCGTCACGTCCAGGCGCGCGAGCGCCCAGAGGACCGTGCTCAGTTCCCTGGGCCCAAAAGCGGCGGCCGCCTCTGCGGCGGCGGCTGGCCCGGATGCCGCCAGGTTGGCCAGGCACAGCTGCGTAACGCGCTCCACTGCGCCTGCCGCTGTCCCACCCAGGGCTGCTGCACCCAGCGGCGTGCTGTGATTACCTGCGCCGCCGCTGTGATGGTGGTGTGCCTCAGGCCCTGACAGGCGCTCTGCGTCCTGCTGCTGTTGCTGCTGCTGCTGCTTATCCTGCTGATGGCCACCGTCTGGGGCTGACGCATGGTACGGCTCTGGCTGTTGCGCCTGCAGTGCAGAGTCTGGCGGTTCCTGCTGCCAGGGTGGTCGTCCCGCGTCAACACCACCTCCTTGCCGAGGCACGTGCCCCTGCGCCTGCAGACGCACCAGCAGTGTCAGAGCGGCGGCGGTGTGGATGGGGTTGATGTCGCGCCGGCTGCGCGCCAGCAGGGCTGCCAGATCGTCTGCGCTGCCGCAGGCCTGGATGCGCCGCGTCACGGCCTTGGCTGCCCGCACCGACACCGGCTGCAGATGACGGCCCGTCGCACTCAGGCGGCGTTGCTCGTCTTTTGAAGGCTGCAGCCGGGCCAGTCGAGGCGTTTTGTTGGTGGCGGCGGCGGCTTCGCCATTGCGGCTTGCATCGCTGCATATCGCACCGCCGCCATTGTGCTGCAACTCAAGGCTATCGCAGCCGTTGCGAGCAGCCTGGTCCCTGGCTGTAGTGTACACAACTTTCGAATGCGCTCTCTCTACGTGTGGATTGGCGCATACGTGTGTGTGCCGCGGAGCCTGCTTCGCTGTGCCCTGCATCGTTGCATGCTTTGCTCGCAGTTTGCGTGCTTTACATATCGTTGTGTATGAACACAATTGTTGTAATCGATCAAATCATATACGTTGTGTCTTAGACATGGAAGAAACAGAAGAGCATGCCGATTGAAATCGTTGCGCAGGGCCGTCAATGGTCTCACTGCGCCCACGACCACTGCTGGCTTGGCATCAGCCACGTCAAGCCCAAAGCTCTATGATACCGCTACTGGCCATGTACATTTGCATCATTTACAAGTCAGATACAATACACGTGCGGCAATCAGTCGACTGCCATGGCGCCACCAGCAAGGATCTTCTCGATCTTGGCAAACTCCCACTCCTGCACGAGGTTGAATGGAGAGAACGTCGGGGTGACCGATACAAGCAATACAAGGGCAACCCGGCGCCTCCCATTGCCGAAAATCCACCTAGGTACCCGGTACGTTCGAAGCAGAACTGCGGCAAGGCTGCCTTGCCAACCGCCCAAGCGGCCGCCCACCCACCTTGTTGCACAACGGGCACGCTGACCGCGTCTTGAGCCAGCGCTGCGATTTGTGGTGGGGAAGGCACAGGGGAGGCTGAGTGTTGCACGACGTACATATTATCAAGGGAGCATGACAGTGTTGTGTGATGAGCAATTGTAAACTGACGGCTATCATGTGAGGGTATGGGCAAGCACTGCCCCAGCTTGTGGCAAGGCGCGACTAACAGCCAAAGTTGGTCAGGCGCTGGCATGCTTTGACAGACCAACGCGCTACGTCAATGTCAGGCAGTCCTGCAAATTGCATGGCGGGTGCGTGCTGCACTGTATTGGCATGCCTGAAATCCCCAGGTGGAAGCAAAAAAGTGCACGTGCAGTGAGGGCAGATGCGGGTACTGTAACGCAGGCTTGCCCCTACCTCAGCGTAGGTGCAGGACAGGTGCACCCTTGCAACATCACGCCCCCCTCCTACCCCCTACGCCGTGTTCATCCTGGTTGCAGTGCCCGCACACGTGTGCCCTCAAGAACACCTTTCGACATCGTGGTGCACTCCATGTATGCCCCACACCCCTGATCACCTTCCCCCAGCTTTCTCCCAAAAACAAATCACCCAGGACCCTGCATAATCATCGCCGCTGCACCTGGATGCAGTCCAGGTGGAAGACGTGTCCGCAGCAGCCCCATGCGATGGAGAGTCCCGGGTGGTCCGGGTCACCAGTGGGGTTGGCCTGGTACTCAATGCTGGGCTCGTACAGGTTGTTGCGGCAGATAGCGCACGTGTCTGTGCAGATCTTTTGGGGTTGGGGGAGCAGGGGTAGCGGGGGCAATGAGAACAGTGAGAACGGGGGTGCGGAGGAAGGGCGGGGGTCCACCAGGGTGCAACAAGTGCCAAAGACGGCGCCGGTAAGTGTTGCGTCTGGCCTCCCGCTAATGAAGCTGCATACTAGCTGAGATATTGCGAACAGACACGGGGCTGGCAAAATACCTTAAATGTCCCAGATCAAATTTGCTATGCTGTGGCTTACGCCACGCGGCAGCAAAACCGTCTTGACAGCATAGACGTGTGTACGACGCCTATACGGCTACATTCAAGGGCACTCACCGCCCAGGACCACATGGCCACTGCGTTCCACTTCTTGATTTCAAAGCGCTTCCCGCCCTTGGAGGCCTTGGCGGCCTTGGAGCTGGGCCCGGCCTCGCCGCCCTTGTCCGCCTCCACCTCCATCTCCGCGTCAGACATGGCTCTGTTGGACCCAGGTGTCTCTGTAATGACAGCACCCACGGTGACATGTCAGACGGGCGCCGCTGGGGGTCGCAGGGCAGCCGTGCGGTTCAACTGCGCGTGCTGCGCCGCGCTGCGCTCACGGACAGACTTCTGAGGATGATGCACCCGCGAAGCATCACACACGCGGCTGCATGCAAGCCGAAGACCATTGGATAGCCACACTGCGGACTTGGGGTACGCTGAACTGCTGGATCAGGCACCCCTCGAGCTGGATGGGTTCGACACCAAGCCCGCGGTGGCCCGAGTCCCGGCTTGCGCGCGATCCAAGAGCATGCTATGGCCTTTGAAACCTAAGATTCATCGATACAGCACAGTATACGACCTCACCTGCCAGCAGAAGCGCTCCCCCCTCAGCTAGATCACTATTGCAAAGCGCGAGGGCTAGCTGTCATAAAATTCTTTCAGCGGGTTCTTCAACTTGGTTGTTTAGACCACCGCGTCCATTTACCGCACTGAAGGGCCGGGAGTGTGTTGAAGTGGCACGAAAAGTGACTGGCGTTCATCTACTAAGAAACGCCAAGCACATGACAAGCGTGACATTTTTGCAATCAGCGCGTCAGTCAAGATCGTCGCGCGGCTTCCATGAGCGACCTCGGCAGTGAGCACAGTAGCGACGACGGTGCCGCGCCGCCGGCGGCCGCCGACCTGCGCGAGTGGGACGAGTGGGATGACGACCCTGGGGAGGATGATGCCACACGCAGCCTCTTCTCGGACGCGGTTCTGCCGTCCCCTGAGGCATGCTTCGCGCACGACGCTGAACGGCACGGGTTTGACATCCGCCAGTTCAGGGCGCAGGTGGGCAAAGCAGGGCCGCCCCACTGTCTCCATCGCGGCTGCTGTCGGCCGCTGCAACAACCGCGCTGCATCGGCGGGCGCACCACTTGCGTCAATGTGGGCGAATCTTGCCCTGCTTACCGGGGTGGTCATGCACAGCCGGCCGGATGCAGCCTTGCGGCCGTGGCTCCCACGGCCCACCCCCCTGCCCCCTCCCCCTCGCGCACCCTCGCCCCCATAGT